CTCACCCCTTCTCACAGGATGGTGTGACTGGGATTTGGAAGGCAGGATGAATAAGTGTGACTGGAGTTTACAGTCTGGATGTTAAGAATGGTCTGAGTATTGTTACTTAACCCCCCCCTACTTTATCACCTTATTTTTGCTTATAGTCTTTCCCCCCTACTGGAAACCTATCCATAGACAAAGGTGCAGTCCTTTTTATTTAATGAATGAATATTCATAAAATGATTTAGGTTGAAGGGAACCTTAAAGCTCATTCAGTTCTACCCCTGCTGTGTCCAGGGGCACCTCCACTACCCCAGGTTGCTCCAAGCCCTGTCCAGCCTGGCCTTGGACACTTCCAGGGATCCAGGGGCAACTACAGCTTTTCTGAGCAATGTTTCTGTGACCACCCTCACAAGGCTCTTTGGTCATTCCTGTGATTATTCTCAGCATCAACGAGTAAAGTTGGCAATTTTATACAAGGGAACCAAACAAAAATTGAACTGTTTTCAAGTGCTTGCAAAGTAGAAAAAAAATTTCCATGTGCAGCATGTCCATCCTGCCTCTGAAACAGCTCAGGGAAGAAGTACTCAACTCCTAAACCCATCAAACATTTTTTTTAAATGTGGCTTCTAAAGGTAATCCCATTAAAAATCAGTGTGCCTCTTCTTTGAGTCTCTGTCCCACCCAACTGCCACAGTGCAGGGCATGGGAACAGCATCCACTTCCCACCAGCCCCTTTGACACCACACAGGAAGAGGTGGCAGTTTTCAACTTCCTTCTCCAGGGTAACCATATTTCTACTGCTAACCCCAAATCTGGGGACCTGTTAAAGTGAATGAGGATAAAGGTCCAAATTCTGAGCCCATAATTCAATTAGGACTTGCACAAATGCAGCTTCAAAGTGCCCCATGAATATTTGCCCTGCAGATTTAAACCTCCCTTTGCAAATCTGCCCTTTAGGTTCCTGCTTGAGAAGAAGATGGGAGACAGCTTGAGGAGATTCATTTTTCCTCTAGTTTATATATAACTTGCTAAGCTTTTTATTTTTTCAAATGAGCTTACTATGTCCAATTTAAGTCAAAATTTAATGATCCCTGCAGTAATTCATTTAAGGATACAGCCTCCATAAATGGTGTACCATAAGTCAGGGAATAACTGTCCTTGTCCGCAGTACAATCATTAATCAACTTTATTAAAATCAGGATTGGCTGAGGAGGTTTGCATAATAAAAGACTCAGAGACTTTTCCAGGACTAAAATGGACCTGAGACCAAACTGGGTATTTCCTCCCCACTTCCCCAGGACTTTGCTCCCCATGTAACTTGGGAGCATCCAAGGCCAGAGTTCATGGTTGGCTCACATGTGGAATTGGATGGGATGATAGTGGTCCTAAAAAGGTTTAAAAAAGACTAATAGTCCCTAACATAGACAGGCATGTTGCTTTGCACTTATGGAGGGAAGGGGATATGGGAAACATCCTATTTCTGACAATTTTAGTGGGGCTTCTCAATGCTTTGGTGTAGGGATGATTTCTGGATGAGGCATTAGCCTCAGAGCAAGCACCTGGAGTTATTTTATATTATGCTATTTTACATTATTATATATTTTATTTTACATCTTCATCTTCTCCTCAGGTTGGGCAAGACCCTGAATGCCTGCTCTGCTTGGTGATGATGCTCTGAGTGGCTGAGCCCCTTGGCAGTCAGGGGAGGCAGGAGCAGCCCAGGGTGCCACCACGAGGGACCAATTAGATCTCTGGATCCAATTAGCAGTAGCTGTGATTTGTGTGCAGCCCCTCTGTACATATGGCTACGCTGAACTTTCCCTCTGTTTCAAATGTCCTCACGGAGCACGAGTGAAACGAGAGGAAGGAACATTTGTCTGGTTTTTTTTTTTTTAAAGCCTTTATGGTGATGGACGAGGAACCTTTTACATCATTCTCCAGCTTGCAAACAAATTAGGTACCTTCATCACCTTCCCCTGATAGTGGAGCTGGCAAGTGACAGCGCGATGAGCTGCTGGGGAGAGGGTAAGGGGTGTGCAAGTGTTTCATTGGACATCATCAACCAAGTTTGCTGGAAATAAAATATAAGTGAAGTCAGATGCTGAGGGCTTAAGTGTCCATGCATTAACCAAGATGGTTTCCATCTCGTGGAGCAATTTGGGCTCCGGCCATTTAGGGCAGGACAGGAATTGTTACTCATTTTAATGGATGCTGGGCATCCAAATCCCTTCGGTGGCATTGAAACATCTCATCCCTAATTTCTATGTGTTTCAGTCCCTCACATGCAGCCAACTCCTGCAGGGCACTCCAGGAAGCCTGATGAAAGTGTTGCTGGTATTACCCATAATGATCTTCAGTTTCATTGAAGAGATCAGACCAAGAAGAAGAGAAAGAAAGGTCCAGGTCTGTTGACAAAATGTCAGGGAGACGAATTGAACTGGTTCCTTCATCCCCACCACAGCCCAGAAATAGAAGATCCCATCACCTGCAGCCCACCTGCAGCCCCTAGCTCAGAGTTTCACAGCAATGAGGCAGCAGCAGGGCTGGCAGCAGAAGGGGACAATGCAGGACAGGGCAGGTCCTGATGCTGCCAGCACTGGGGAGCAAGGCTGTGATGAATGACTGAGAGTTCTGCAGCACAGCCCAGGGGTCAGGTCTGCCCCTCTCTCCTCCATCTTGGGGGATTTTGATGGCTGGATGTCCTTCCTGGCAGGAGGTGCTGAAAATGGGGTGGATCACCAACTGCAGCCCAAAAGGAGGAGATAAAACCACTTTACAGGATGCTTTAAAAAATAGTCATCTAGCTGGAAAGTCTCTGTTAGAAAAAAAGGCAGTCTTGGAGAAGAAACCCCCGCAGACATTCATAGTCCTGACAGAATTGTTTAAGGTAGAGTAACAGGAAACAAGGCCCCAGATTTTTTCCTAAATGAGCTCTTTCACACAGCAGCTGGCTGGCAGTCAGCTCCTAGAGAAGAGTGTGGGGAGAGGTTGTAAGTAAGTCAGGGGAGCAGCAAAGGGGGCTGAAGGTTGCATGACATCACTTTGGGTCAGAGTGTCTGAAAAAACCCAAAATAGTTTCTCCCTATTTGACTGAAAAGTGAAAGGGGCAATTCCCCATCTCTTCTTCTACAGGTGGTTCAATTTGTCTTTCCTTGGTGGGAAGCAGGCAAAGTTGGGCAACGTTATCTGTAGAGGGGAAGGATAAAGTAGGTGATGTTTTCCAGAAGTGGAAAATTCAGCAAAATTAAATTTGATCCTTGGAAAAAGATAGACATCTTTAACTTGGAAAAAGAAACATCTTTAAATGCCCAGCCCAAGTGCTGAAGTCACCGTAGCTGACCCACAGAGAGGAAGAATGGTTTTGTGGTTAAGGCACTTCACTGCCATCTGAAAAATCTGGGTTTGATTCCATTAGCCACAACCTCCCTGTGTGCTCACAGACAAATCTATTCCTCTTTTTGCCCAGGTCACTATTCATAAAATGGGGTTGAGAACTCTTCTTTTCTCACCAATAGTGCTGCCCATCAGGAGTTTGCAGCCGTGGTGAGGTCCACACATTGTGGATTGAAGCAACAAGTTTCAGGAGTGTGTCTCCTTGATAATGATTTTATCTATTCTCCTTCATGGAAGGAGCTGATTCCCCACTTGAAAGCAGAATATCATAGCCACAATTCACTCCTATTCACGGGTCAGGATTTGAAACCAATTCTTGTATTAAAAAAGATGAATCATAGCACAAAAATGACTTAATTAGCTGTGTAGACAGCCAATGTGAGCACAGAATACCCCGAGCGAGGGTCCTCTCCAGCCAAACATCGTCCTTTAGGGAACTTGGCATTCCTTCCAGGCTGTGTGTCAAGGAGACTGAGCAACTTTACATCAACACAACATGGATTTTCCTTCTACCAAACTACTCTGCAATCTGTAATTTTTAACCTCACAAGTTTGAGATTGTACCTTAACATTTGCAGGAAGCAGATGGCTTCTGCATACTGCCAACCTGTTGTTACAAAAGCATCTTCCAAGAATTGTTTTCTACCCACAGTCGCTAACCATAATTAACCTTTCATATGATTTAATAAACAGCAAAAAATATTTGCCATCTCATATTAATAAAGAGAGATTTTCAGGACATTTTTTCCCCTTCTTCAAGAACGTAGAAGCTGTGGTAATTTTTGCTTGTGCTTGTTTTTATTGCCTCTCAAATTATTTAGGGATGCAGTTCACTTATGCTGATTAAAGCTGAGAAGGACAGCAGAACAGTGGATGAGCAAAGCATCTTCTGGCATGGCACACAGTGACCTTTTATTTCAGGAAAAAATGAAGTTCGGGTGAGAAGCATGACTGCTAAGCGTGGGGCAGCGAGGAAGTGCAGAACCCATTGATAGACACAGTTACATCAAGTTGTACTTTCCATTATTTTAATGCTTCATGGAATTTAAAGTGATAATAATAGAGTCCTGTAGTACTTTGACCTTTTTTATATTGAGAAACTTCACTGACTGGTCATTTTTGGGCAGAGTGCTCTCTCTCTATATATATATACATACACACACATACCATGCTGACAGACAGACTCCAAAGTGCCTGGGAGACAGCTAAGTGAAAAGTGGGATATTACCATGATTTCATTAATGAATGAAAATTAAGATGTTGGCTAAGACTTACCCCCATATTACAGGGGAAATGAAATGGCAGACATAAGTAAAAACCTGGCATGGGGGACCAAAGTACATCTTTCTCTCTCTGATGGGCAGTTGCTTTGGCTTAGGGTATCAAAGGCTTTCTGAAGAGCTGAAACTATAAAAGAAATATTCTCTTGGTTTAACCAATTTCCATAATGGGGGTTAGGGAACACTGTCCCTGCTAGGACAGGAGAACTTCTTTAATTAATATTTCTCATAACTGTTGAGTGCTCATCATCCATTAATATGATATTGTACCTTTGAAAGTACAAATACAATTATGATGATAACTGCTTAGCTATAAAAAATAAAATAAAATCATATACATACAAAGACTGAGCTGCAGCCCAGGAAATGATTCCAGGAGATGATCCCAGGTTTTCTGCTTCCTCCCTGGGTTTGCTGGTAGATTGGAATTTGCCAAATGGTGTTTGGTTCTTGTTCATTATCAATGTGCTGCCAAGACTGAAATGGATCATCTTCAATTAAGATGGATGCACATCAAATTATTGCAAGCCCAAGGAGGCTGACTTTGTAGCTGAAAATAAAATACAGTAAAATAATTTTTAAAAAATTTGCTTTCTGAACCTAGAAATTAGGTAAGGGAAATCAAATATCTCAAAGAGACAATGCTTTTTTTAAAATTAAAAATAAAACTTCTATTTTTATAAATATAATATGCACCTGATACCAACCAAGCAGTTGCAATGTTTTCTCTGCATTGCATTTCAGATGTTGACTCATATATTTGCTTTCCTGGAACACAGCAGAAAAGCACCATTTTGTTAAAGATGTCATTTCTTTAACTATTTCTGGTAGCCTTTTCCAGTAATTAATGCTTCTGTTATGCCAGCCTGTGGGTACACTCCTTATTCTGCTTCATTTTGTGATAATTTTGTCCTAGTCTTGCACTAGAGATTTTTTTTTACTGTTAGATTTTATCTATTTTAGCACAGCTTAAAAAAAATTATTCCCACTAATAAATTATTTTCCTGTGGAGACTGTGAACACAAAACATTTATCATGATATTGACACAAGTTTGGAATATGCAAATGTGGTTTTTACTTTTGTAGAGCTCAGTGAAATACAGGATATACAAAATACAGAATCAGTAATGTTTTATACAATTCTTCTCCTCTTTGCCTGGTACCCCAAGGTGCCCTCTGTGACTCTGAAAATTCAGAGTTTGTTGCTGCTGTTGTCCTTGGAAACTTTTTTTAAGCCCAATTTACAAGGTCTAACCAACTGAATTTAATTTTCTTTATTTTCCAATTTAGTTTAAAATTCAGGTGGCAGTTTAGCCATTGACCTTCTGAATTTTCTTTTTCCTGTCCATTATCCCATTATAATTACTACTACTACTATTATTATTATTATTATTATTATTATTATTATTATTATTATTATTATTTAAAGGTGTTTTCTTGCTGTTGTTTGTTTATTTAGCCTGCTGGGATGTTTTTTCCAACTTTTTCCTACAGGATGGGTTAAACAGTCACTCCCAGCCCTTTTTGGACTCACTGGATCCAGCTCAAATCAACGGGACAAATATTTTGTTGCCACAAGAGCCCCAAGGATCTATAATCTGCAGTTCCTTTCAGTCCCCTGGCAGCCGTTTCCAGCCAGGACGTGTTTTTTGGTTTTTTGGAAGAACACGTTTTCATTCAAGAGATGTTACAGCAAAATTCGAGCAAGGTCTGCAGTGGTCTGTGTCCGAAGGCAACAAAGCCAGCTTTCTCCTCGGGTTTGGGTTTCTTTTCAGCACTTACCAACTTTGTCTCACAACACCCTTGAGGAGGCAAAAGCGCTTTTTGTTCCTTTATTAACAGGCGAGGGAAGCAGGACATTAAAATCCCGGTGGTGCAGCAGGAGGCAGCCCTGGGGACGCCTTGGCAGGGCAAAGGGGGGGTTTGGGGTGATGCTTTGGGTACCCCCCGGCCCCTGCTCACCTTACCCACCCTAACCTTCTCTCACAAATTTATTCCCTCAAAATTCAAAGCCACAAAGCTCTGGGAGAGCTGCTTTGGTGGGAAGGCAGAGTATTTTTTTGTCACTGACCTCTTTGGGGAATTATTTTTTGTCCCTCTCCAGCCTGCACATGGCCCTGCCATCACTGCCACCCCTCACCAGTTTTAAGGCATTTGTACACAGATCCCTGTGGAGGAAATGGGCTCTTCTTGTCCCGCATTGCAGATGGCAGCTATGAAAGAGGAAGATTTATGTCACTTGCCCAACTTCTCCCTGGAAGTCTTTGGCAGAGATTTGCACCCCAGTCTCCAACCTCACGTTACAATTTGTGACCATCGCTCCTGGCTCCACTTCAGCCTCTCCTCTCTCAAAGCAGGGATAAGGACAATTGCCATCTTTCACCCTTTTACAACAAATGTCATAATAATTTTTTTTTTTTAAACCCTCTCTTTGAAATGGCTTGAGACTGTGGAAAACTGCACTTTCATTAAAAGGTAAATTAAAGTTATGAACAAAAAGGCTGAAGCAGAAAGACTAGAAAACTGTAACACTAACAGAAAAAAATTCAACGGTAAACAACAATCTGCTGCTCCAAGGGTCATCCCGTGATTTACATGGAGTAATTCATGATTTTTCAGCACGGTTGCCGGGCAGACCTTAAAGATCGATGCCTCTGAGGGAATACTAATTTTAAAAAGTATTCAGTTCTTCATCAGATGTTGAGGAGTATGGCATGCTTTCATTTCTCCCTGCACATTAGCCAAATTAAATCAAAATAAATATCAATGAAAATATTGCACAGGACATAAAACCCCATCCATTTGTGCTCTATCCATATGCTGCTTTACGAGACGCTGGGTTTCGCTCCTGCTCCGCTCTCCGCTGCCAGCCCCGAGCGCGCAGCAAGGCGCAGAGTCCCCAGTGTGTTTTAGGCATTCATCCTCCAATACTGCACCCCGGGGCCTGCCTGCAGTTTTGTTCTCACCCTGTATCTTCGCCGGGCTTGTTTGTGCCCACGGGCAGCAGCCGTGGCCTGGCCAACGCCTGCCAGGCCAGCTCCAGTCCTGGCCACCGGCTCAGGCTGCGCCACCGTCGCTGCGAGACCGGCCGCGAGGTGCGTTCCTGCCAGCAAAAAGTACAGTTGCTAAAAGGTGCTTTGTTCGTTAATTATCTTAGGGTGGTTTGGACAAAGTAAATATTTCCACGTCCAGGAAGTTGTTTCTGAGGGATGCTGGTGCATTCACACCCCGCGGGGTCCCTCGCTGTGCATCTGCACCGAGGCGCCGCGCAACCTGCAAAGCACGGAGCGCCCGCGACAGAAATCATAAACCACAACCAGGGTTTGGAAATGCAACCAATTTGTGCCAGCTCAGGAGCAAGAGCAGCGATTTCTGCTTTTAAAACCAGTGCAGTTTTTTGGGTAATGTGATTAGAGATTCAACATTTTCCCCTCTCATTATTATTTAGCTCCCTCATTTGAATGCTCAGGTTTTAGGGAAGGGGGATTGCTCGGAAATTACAGACGCAGCCAAATTTCTTCCTTCCCCTTTGACAGGGCAGCGCTGATGGTTATTGTTCTTTTCTAGCTGCATTACGCTGTCCTTGATTTTTGTTTCAAGCAGTCTAATGGCATGATGTCAAATCCTGCTAATTGGTTTAGGATTAAAATGCAGGGCCACATCACTCTCTTGATTAACCAGCAGCAAAACTGCTTTTGTCTAACGATCGTTTCAGAGAAGAAAGAAAATAAAGCATATAAAGGAAGCGTCAGGCTTTTGTCAGTAAAAATACATAGGAAGCTGCTTTTTTTTTTTTTTTTTAAGGAAAAAAAATTGCCACTGTGAGGCCCACTAAGTTTTGACTTGTAGCAGCTCAAAAGCAGCCCTGTGGGGAAAGATCGCTTCCTGAGGAGCAGGGACTGTGCTTTTATCCAGCATCCAGCCACTCACTGCGCTGTACTGGAGCATCGTGCCTGGACCTGCTCGTACTTAACACACCAGCAAGAAAAAATCACAGGAACATTTCAGCCCCATTTCTGGCTTCTCTAACATCCAAACAATCCCAGTCCCAGCTGAGTTTGTACTGGGATAAATAACCCAGGACTGGGCAAAGGCTGTGCAGTGCCAGGGAGGTGCTGGGAGCTGCAGCTCTAGCAGGAACCTGAGCAGGATGTAGGATGCCCTGGGCCATGGGAACGGGCTCTGCAGCTGCAGCATCCCCCTCCACTCACCCTAAGGACTCAGAAATCAGTTCTGCATGCAGAAACAGTGTTGTGCTTGCTGGGACAGAGCTCACCTGTTGGGTAATGAGAATAAAGAGGTAGTTTTTCATGCAGATTATTGGGAGAAGAAGAGGGGAATTCATGGTTCAAATTAAAACAGTGGAAGCAACACCAAACCACTACTTTGCTACCCCTCTGCTATTAAAAATAATACCCCAACAAACCCACAAGAACACCCCCAACAATCCTTAAAGATTCTCCCTACTGCACTGTTTAATCTCCTTGGCTCCTGTTTTCCCTGACCAGCTGAGGGATTTAATTTCCAGGGAATTAAACGTCCAATTCAGAGCATTGTTTTGGGAAATGTGCACACGATTTACCACACACAGTCCTGAAAGTCACCGTCAGACCCAGCACTCCCAGCACGCTCCAGTCCCATCCCTGCTCTGCCGGGAGGTGAAAGGGGCTTTATTGGGAAGGTTTTGATGCATTTGGCATGTCTTTGAACCTGGCTTCCCCAAAGGGAGAGAATGAACTCAGGCGGAGAAAGAAAAAAGGAAATAAAAGGGCCCTTCCCATCTGCCCGGCTGCATTCAATGGGGAGCTTTTTAAAAGATATAATAGAGGTTTGTGTGTTCCTGCTGAGATTTGTTCTGGTCAGCTTCTCCAGGGCGCTCAGACGGGGCGGTGTGGTGTGCCCGCCCTCCCCCAGCACCCTCAGAAAGAAATTACAGTTGGTTTCCTTTTTCTTTACTAATTTTTTTCTGCTGCAAAAAGTGTATGCCCTGCACACACACTGCTCTTGCACAAAAGCGACTCGAGCCAACCCTGCCGAAAACTAATGTGGGTGTTTGGGTTTTTACCAGCAGTGCACTAAAGCCTGGTGTTCCCAAGCATGGCACTGAGGCATCCAACCCCCAGATATCCCTACAGGATCCAGCCCAGGTTTTCCTAGAGAGCATCTCTGGGACAGTGGGGATGGGGAGCATCAGAGGGCTCAGCCCATTTTTCCAGCATCCTGTTGTGGAAGTAAATCAACAGCACTTTGGCTGTACTCCAGAAGTTGTCCTACTCTTTATTGTGCTCTGTGACTTGTTGGTGTGATTATTAAAAGCCAGGTCGGCTGCAAAGCTGATTTTTTAATGCACTTCTAGCCCCAGAGCAGACAAGATGACATTTAACAACAGCAAGCGTTCAAGGAGGGGCCCTGTGTCAGCACCCAACAGGTACAGAAACGCCTGAGAAGTTCTTGGCTGTCATGAGCAGCTTTCTGCTTTGCAAACTATGATAGAAAGAGTGGAAATACGCTTTGTGTGCTTTTCTCTGACTCTGGGACTCCAAAGCAGGAAGATGAGAACATCCTGCACACATGTTAATTAGTCATTCCTTAAAACCAAATGTCACAGTGCTCATATTTAATTCCAAGAACAGACTGATGAATATGTACGTATAGTTATATTTCATTTACATACTCTGGGATTTGTTAAGAGACGCCTAATAAAACCATCTAAAATGAATTAGATGTTCTCCTAACAACATTTATTTTGAATTCATGTATATCAGAGAAACATTCCCAATACTGCAATAGGGGATTTTCGTAGATATAAAATACATATATTGCATTTCATAAATGAAGATAGGGAGTTAAAGTAGCCACCCTCTAAATGGGATTGGATTTTTGAACACGTGAAATGGAGCTTGAGGGTCAGGGGAAGCAGTGATTGGGGTTGTAGGAGCCCAAAGAAGATGAAACTCAGCACCCAGAACACTGTAAGAAAGTGTCCATATGAGGAAAATATTAAAGGAAATTAATTCACTCCTCAAAGCCAGCAAGAAAAAAAAATCTCCTTGAGACATTTGCATCCTCTTATTTTCAATTTCCCAGTTCTATATCTAATACTTTTTGAAATTTATATTTTCCTTTACTCAGAGCCCCTGCCCTTAGAAGGGGGTACCTCCAGGTAGCTGCACTCAAAAAAGCCCTTCCAGCCCAAGAGGCCCTTCAGGGATTTTTTTCCCTTTTCAAACTAAACTAGTTTATAGGAAAACCCCTGCGGTTTGGTTTTGTGTTTTGTTCTTCCCCCTCTAACTGCCCTGCACCCTGTGAGCTCCCGGGGAGCACAAAAGCGTGTCCTGGCGGGCACATCATCGGCTCGACAGGTCGTGCCGCGGGAATTCAGCTCACACTCCCGCGGATGTGGGAGTCTGGAACAAATCTGGCTCACCCGCCTGCCTTGGCCGGCCTCCGTAGGGCCAAGAGGGGTGGAAGGCAGTAAAATCTCCTTTCAGTCTATAAAAATCTGCAGAGATATTTGGAATGTGCAGAGGGAGCAGATCTCCCGGGTAAAGCGGAGCAATGATTAAAATAGTCACTTTTCTGACTGTAATCACAATTTAAAAACTGCAGTTTTTGTTTGCAGAATGGCTTTGGTTTATATTCTAGTGACAGTCACACAACTCCAGGGGTTGTTTTTGGAGTTAGTGGCAAAAACATGTGGTTTGAATTTAAAGTCTTAAAGCTAGAGGATCGACGTTTCTCCAGCAAAGATATTGCCAGTGTCTCTATGAGTCATAATTTTAAATCATCAGGAACCTGAACTCCTCATTAAATGATTAAAGGGAACAGTAATGAAAAAGCTAAAATAAAGGATAAATATACAGCCATAGAAACAGGAACATCTATTTTCAAAGCAGAAAAAAATACTACCATCCTGACAAAGGGTAATAAACTTATCAAACTAACTCACTTTTTTTTTTTTCATTTGAGAATATAATCTTATTAAAGAAACAAATTTCAGATGGCAAGGTAAGATTACAGCTCTTCTAGACTATGACTAGAGTTTTCCCATAAACAGGTTATTGCTGTGGGTTCTGGTCATAATTAACTCTGTATTTATGCCCCACTTTCTAAGAATAAAATGATCCCTGAGACCAAGTGCTTGATAGTGAAGTTTCCTGTTGGGGTATCAAGCTTGTTGCTCTCTATGAGCTCCATGTTTGTGTTTTCCCCAGTAGTCATGGCCTCAACTCAGCTCTCCCACACCTGACTTCATTCCCTTCTCCCCTCCCAAAACAGAGAGTGGGACATGCAGACCAGACCAGGGCTGGGTTTTGCAGACCAGCATCTGTATGAAAGAGAGAGGAGCAAAGATAACCCCACTCTGTAAAAACATACCTCAGCTGAGCTGCTTTTTCCTTCCACAGGAAGATCAGGGGCTGCCCAGTTCTCCAAACTCATTCTGACCACTTTCAGTGGAATGAGAAGGATTGTGGTTACCAGAGATGGTGCTTGTTGGAAATCTCGGCACATTGTGTTTACAGGAATTGCATAGGGTGGGTTGCAGTTTTGCTCCTTCAGTGCCTGATTTGAAGAAAATATGTGAAAAAAACAAATAAACAAAATATTTAAAAAAATAGGTGAGTGTATTGACTTAGGCATTACGTAGCATAAATAAATATAAATACATGAGGCTCGCTGCCTGACTGTATCGATACATTGGCAAGAATTCAAGGGTTATATTTGCAATGCAGAAAATAATCCAGTGAGTCATCTTCCCCACGCTTTGGCTTGCCATCCTCTCCCATTTTCGCTTTGACCCGGGAGGGCACAGCACACAGCCTGAAAATAGGCAGTGGGATGATGTGGCGTGGCCGCACCGCTCCGCTCCGTGCGGGAAACGCCCAATCCCATCCGCAGGCAAATGGGAGGGATGCTCAGGAAAAGTCTGAAAACTGCTGCTGTCACAGGCATTCTCATGCTTTTCTTTGATCTGCATTCCACCAGCCAAGGGAAATGAGCATATAAGTATAATCCCCCCAAAATAGGTGATAATAATAATAATAGTGTTGATGACAAGGATGATAATAATAAAATAATGACACATAGAAACACAACACCCAAAGTTGCTGCATTTTTAGTCCACAGGTCCATAGACTTCTAACTGATTCACAAACAAAATTAGAACAGGAAACTGGAGGCACACAGTTTAAATACAAAAATGAAATTTTGGATTGTAACATTTGCAAATGTGAAAATAGGATTCAGCCTTAGGCTCCACTACAGATGACTCCACCATGACAGCTTGGCAAATTGAATCAATGACTTACCTCCCCAAAACAGCTCTTTCCTGGCAGATTTCCAGGGCCAGGCAAGTGGTTGTGGTCTGGCTGAAAGCGTCTTAATGCAAATGGCCAAGGTGGGCACCTGAGAGCACAGACCAGCACCTGGGTCACCAAACTCTTTCCTGATGACTTCCCAGGGCTCTGCTCTCCCACTTGCATTCGATGCTGCTTTTAGAGGGGACAGGACTTTTCCACTGCATCTCCCTGGTCACTGAGTGGTGTGGCAGGTGCTGCACCAATCCCCAAATCTGGTCCTGGGCACTTAACACCTCTGCAATCACATTGTTCAACGCAGCTGGAGATGCCTTCCCCTCCCTCATGTCCCTAAACATGGAATGCAATCCCCAGGAGAGAGCCTGTGCTCATGTTTAATCTGCTGCTTTCCTGGAGAAGGAATCTGACAGTCCTGATCCATCCTGTTCTGCTCCTCCACTACTGAGCACCAGATCCTGACTCCTATGAGCATGAGCTGTTGGTCAGGTCAAAGGAACTTTGAACTTACAAATATTAAAAAAAAAGAGAAAAAACCAAATACATGGATGTACACACATACAATATCTAGACACAGATGCACTAGATTATAAGCAAAAATTACCTAAACCCCCATGGTTCTAATCATAGTAATACACAGTAGTAGTAATGCATTGATATTTCATTTCCAAGGACCCAAGGCATAATTTAGAGAAAGGATTCTTAAGAGTACAGCACCTAGCTTAGAAACAGGTAATTTCCTTTCATCCCACCATTCTCCTGTCTTTACCCAAGCCTTGCTACTTCATACAAGCTATAGAACCCTTCACAAACTACCAACATACTGTATTCCTATTTAAGATATTGGCTACACTCAGTTTTTATTCAGCTTTTGATCCCCAGTCCTAAAGCATCCATATGAGGGGGCCTTAAAAACAGGTGGATATGTTTGCAAGAGTGAGTTTTCTCCCCCATCCTGCCATCTCTCATCTTGCCATCTTTCATCTTGCTTCATGGATTTTTCCATTAAAAGAATCGAGCATTAAAAAAAAAAATGATTGAAGTCTTAAGACCTATGTATTAATATACTTCTTTTTTTTTTATTTTTGCACAGTGGAAGGAGTTATCTCAGAGATGCATCAGAATGTGGCTGTCTCTTATTTTATGTTCTCAGTCCAACAGCCTGGCAGAGGCACACATGGAACACGGTGACCAAGGGCTTGGTTAAGGATGTAGGAGAATGTTCCCTTTTCTCTCTGCATCCATCCACACACAAATCATATGTACAACATGGGTGCCTGCTAAGAAATGGATTCAGCACATTCACTAAAGAGATTGTTTTCTTAATAATTCATCCAAGTGTGGGAAAACAACCGAGCACTCAGTCCAGAGGCATCCCCAGAGTCAATGTGGTTTTGTTCTCTCCTGTCCTTGGAATATTTATGCTTTGCAAGTCCCTGGAAAGAGGGATGCTTGTGCAGTAGCATAAACCCTTTTGGTGTGGTACCACGTGCCTTCCCTTGGACAATTTGTATTACAGAGGAGCTACAAAGAGGCAATATGTTTGGAATGGCTGATAGAGGAATTGCTCATATAGGCAAAACATAACATTTTTAATCCCATCCTCATTTAATTTTTTAAGCAAAATAAATGATCCCTGTATCTTGGCATATGCATCACATTGAAATGGAGCCATTACTCTGGGCAGCTTTTTCACAATGTCTTGCATAATGTGGTATGAAAATCATGTACAGCTCCTGTGTTTGTATCTCAGAAGGAAAATAAAAGGCAGTTAAATTACAATGCAAGAATTAAGCTATGAATGGATGTTGCACTCAAGAAGTCTTTTGATTAAGAGGGGGAAATGACAAGATTTTTTTTTTTTCCTCTTCTAGATATTTTATCCTTGCAACAAGCTCAACCATCAAATGTTTCGAGAGAGGTCAAAACTAGTCTATCTGTCTTTTTTATGGGAGTTTGTGAAAGGAATCTCTCTGTGTGGAGTTGTACAGGAATTGACACGATAAACCTAAATGGCTCCTTTACAACTGTTAGGGTTTTCTGTAAACACATGCTGTCCTGCCAGCCAACCAGCTTCAAACCCGGGTGCTGAGCACAGCAGATGGTCTATCCTGCCGATACACACACTACTAATTCATATTTCAATACACAGCTTTGCTGCCTAAACGAAGCCACTGCCTCTTGAAAAGTTTTAAAACTCCTCATAACTGGTAATTTTGGGGAGGTTAATTGAGAAGACAGGGGAAGGCTGCAAAGAGAAGGCCGCTGGCTCTCATGGGAATGGACATTTTGGGGGTGCTTGCTGCAGAGTTGCAGACATGAGTCCTGCCAAAGGGAAACTATGGCATGGCTGTGCTGCATTAATAGAGGAATAATTAAACCCAGAGAAATCAGCCCTGCAGAACAGAAAAGGTAAGCAGCAATGAAAAATAGGGCTACTGGCAGCATAGTGGTCACAACACCTTGCTATTGGCATGGCCATGTCGGAAGAGGATTTTTAGGGGAAGGCAGGTTTTTGGGAGGGATGAAGGATAATGCAGCAATTTAAACAGCTGCCTTGACCCTTACTGCACCAGCTCTGCAACTGCTGCTATGTGCAGGAACATTTTGGCATCAACACTTGATGTAAAAATCCTTGACTAAATCAATTTCCTCTCTCATCTCCTGCAACAACCAGCTATCACCTCACAGGTTTGGGTAAGATGGTGCAGTACAAGATCATCATCTTTCTACTGGGCTGCCAGAGCAGGGTGTGAAGGGGAAATTGTTATTTCACCTTGAAAAATAAAGGAGCAGGGGAAAATGCAGGGTAATGGGGCTTTAGGAGGCAGGGTAGCAGGTTTATGAAGCTGAAGGTACCATGGACATCATAGTGTGCAGTACCTTGGGCACACCAGCTCAGGGCCTGTCACTCTGTCCTGTGGCCAGAGCATTCTGGTGTCACCAACCAGTGACTCTGTGTGAACTGGGAGCATCCACTGGTGAGACATGGACCTCTGCTGTTCCTGATGGAGGAGGACACAGCAGACAAATCCTATACACTTCCACAAGTGCCTGAAGATAGCTGTTCCATGCACTTGGCCTGGAGCCCCTACACTGGTGTATTAACTTCTCTCCATTGCTGACAATTGCTTACACCAGAAAGAAAAAATAAAGCTAAAGCCCCAAAGGAGCAGTGATCCTCAGTATTAATAACCCCTCTCATTGCAAGGGGATTGCTGCTTGAATTCCCTTTGCTGAGGTTTTATCAAATGCTGTACCTCCTCCACTGGGCTGTGATCAGCTGGGTGACTTCATCAGGTTCAACACTAAGTAGGAGCAGAATCTCCTTCGAAAATTCATTTAATCTTTCTCCCAAAGGAGAAATGAAAATTAATATTAATTTTCTCTTTTTTTTTTTTTTAAGCTAATTATCTTTTTTTTTTTAAACTATAGAGAAGTTTTTTTTTTCACAGTTTTGGTGGGTTTTTTTTT